AAGGGTTCATCTCATCCTAACAATAAAAAGTTAGATATACGGACCTTTTTTTTGTTTCAAAATTCAATCGATATATCGTAATCCATAGGAAGTGAATATGGACGAAAAGGACAAAACAACCATAATTATTATATGAATAACTACGATGTCCAAAATTTCTCGAGATCTTAAAAAAGCAGACAACAAGTATAATCTTATATATCAATCCATAACAAATAGCAACTTGCACTCAATGGGATATGTAATTGTTTTTCTTGAAATCTAAAGTGTCGGTAGGATGTCTTCAAATATCACTAAGGATCTGTTTGATTGATTCAAATTTCATAAAAATGTCACTTTAGAGGAATTGAATTTTTACTTTGGCTGTTTGATACGAAAGCAGAATGGAGTTTGAATTCTAAGGTACAACCACCTTAAACTTTTTTTGCCAATTTCATGGAAACTGAATTCCTATGGGGTACTTGGATTTTTATTTTCCAACTTACATGGAATTGAAAAGTCTTTCCACTTTTGCCAATCAAACGGACCCTAAAAGTCTTCAAATATAACAATAGAAAGGAATAGAAGTTAGATAATGTAAAAAGGTCGAACTATATCAAACTCAACTTCAAGGTACGTGATAGAGTTTCCCTGAAAGCGTCATTTATCCCACCAATTCAGTAATGCACTTGGGAACGCAATTGTGCTTCCAGGATACAATGAAGTCATCATGTTGTCTGTGTTGTCAATCAATAAAAACAACCTAAACATCAAAGATTATTCTATGTTTGGATCTCATTATTTCAAAAATTCATTATTTCAAAACTTATTTTCAATCACGCATTTTTCTATAAAATAATATTACATGTAAATCGAAAAATTCTCCTTATTTTTTAATAACACAATCTCTAAAAAATACTTTTCAAAAATGTATTTTTTGCCCAAAAATAGGGCTCGAACAAGGGCTATAGATGTTTGTACTCACGGCTTATCCTTTTATGTATTTGTATGATTCGAAAATTGTTTGAAAATCACGTCCAAATTAACTTGTAAAAGAGTTCCGATCGAATAAGGAAAGTTATCTTCACGCGAATTTTTTGTCTTTGTACAGCAGTCAGTATTTTTACTATAACTTTCTCTCCCAATATCCGATTGAGGAGATTCGAAGTGAGTTGAAAAGATAGCTCAAAAGGATACAACTTCTTTAGAAATAGAGGTTTTCCAATTCGAACTTTTATGGTACCATAAATGGGTATCAATATTCGGCTAAAAATTTGGAATATAATTTGTGCGATTGAAAATTGATTTTAATCATATTCCATTCATTTTTGAGTTCTAATTTCATCCAATTGTCTCCTAATAATTTTCAAAGTATCATCTTGTGGTCCAAATCAACTATTGAATTTGCAATTTGGTCCTCAAACTTTAAATTTTGCCATTTTCACCAATTTTCGCATCTTTCTTTGAATTCCTCGTTCAACCATTGATTTTTACATATATAATAGAAAATACAATAATTTAGGATATGTTTTGTCAGAATAACTATCAAATATCGTTGTTTTAAACTCCGAATAAGTGTATAAAATACACTTATCACATGTGGATGGAAATGACCATTTCTGTCAATAAAAAGTTTGATATACACCTTTTTTTGGGTCAAACTTCAATCGATATATCGTAATCCATAGGAAGTGAATAAGGATGAAAAGAACAAAAAAGCCATAATTATTATATGAATAAGTAAGACGTCCAAAATTTCTCGAGATCTTAAAAAAGCTGATAGCAACTTGCACTCGATGGGACGTTTGATTTATTTGATTTCTCTTGGTTCATTGATTTTATTTAGACAAATAACAACTTGCACTCGATGGGATGTTTAATTGTTTTTTCTTGAAATCTAAAGTGTCGGTAGGATGTCTTCAAATATCACTGAGGAACCGTTTGATTGATTTAAATTTCATAAAAATATCACTTTCGAGGAATTGAATTTTTACTTTAAATGTCACTTTCGAGGAATTGAATTTTTACTTTGGCTGTTTTATACGAAAGTAGAATGGAGTTCGAATTTTAAGGTACAACCACTTTAAACGTTTTTTTTTTTTTTTTTGCCAATTTCATGGAAACCGAATTTCTATGGGGTACTTGGATTTTTATTTTCCAACTTACATGGAATTGAAAAGTCTTTCCATTTTTACCAATCAAACGGACCCTAAAAGTCTTCAAATATAACAATAGAAAGGAATGGAAGTTAGATAATGTAAAAAGGTCGAACTATATCAAACTCAACTTCAAGGTACGTGTAGAGGTGTCAGGCTTGGCTCGGCCCATTGACCCACGAGCTCGTGGCTCGTTTGTAGCGAGTAGAGCTCGGGCTTGGCTTGTTACAAATACCCGAGCTCGGCTCGGCCCACGAGCTCGTGACTCGTGTGCGTCTCGTGGGCCGAGTCGAGCTTTAGCTCGTGGCTCGGGTAATTTTTTTTTATATATATATTAATAAGATATGCTTTTTTTTTTAAAAAAAATGAATTTTTGGACGA